TCTTATCAGATCAGTTGCCATCTTTTTGCCCCAGCCAGCTATAACTGAAAAATTCTTAAACTTGAGTTGAACATGCTCCCATGTTCCCTGCTTCCTCCTGTGCTTCAGCCTAACTCCACCAGCACTAGCAGAACACCAAACTCTCACAGTCACAGCACAGTCACAGCAAGATCTTACTGGCCCCAGAACAGTTTTCAGATTGGAAGCATTCCACAAGTTTACCTACATCAAATCAAAACACCTGGCAATACTGATGCACAGAAACATGCCTGAAGTAACGAAGGTAGGCCTCCAAAGGACCCAAACAATGATTCATTGAGGACTTTCTATCCTTACTGACGAAAGAACTTATCAATCAATTAAAAAAAATTTTTTTTAAACATCCTGGTCCCCAGAAAGAACTCTGCAAACTCTTCTCAGCCATAAGTCCCTAACTGCCAAAGTAATTTTTTCTAGCACTTGATAAAACTTATCAATGACTACATATCAACTGTACTCCATCAAAAGTATGGATATCACAGAAATCAGCTTTCAAAAAATCTTCAGCTTTATAAAATTATGATAACATGGTTTACTCTAGAAATAAAATTTCTGATTGGGTATATCTTTTTCATTCATCACTGATTAGTTAAAAACCCTCATTAATTCTAATAATAAAATTTTCTAGAACTAGCTTCATTAACATATGATGATAATAATCTTAATAACATCTAAAAAATAAGACAGGCAAAAATTCATTAAGCACTTACTATGTGCTAAACTCTTTTGTATTGTCTCAGTTAATCCTCACAACAACCCTGCTATTATCTCTGAACTTTTTGGGCAACTTGATGTATAGTTCAGGACATCAATGAGCCATACACACCTGGTCCTTATTTATAAATGCACATTCTTTAAAAAATAAAAAGTTCAGGTGAGGCAATTAGAAAAGAGAGGCATCTTTCTAAATCATGAAGTTTTCCCCCAATTAGCTTAGAAAAATGTCTTCCAATAAATCTATGAAGCTAGAGAAAGAAAATTATTTTAAAAGGTTAACTAGATGAATTGGCCTTTCTTGGAATTTTCTATCATAATGGCAGCTCACATCTTAGATTAAGCTAATCAGGTTTCTGGGACCCTCCCTTTGAGGAAATCTTAGCACCTCAGATCCAGGTCTATCCCCTCTCCACTATGGGGAACACATCACCCTGGGTTTTGGTCACAGACCCTTAGTTTTCTCAGAGTCTGAAAGACCACACACCACTGACAAACTATTTGCAGGACAATTAGGCTTGTGTACGAGATGCAGTGATGTTTGGCACCAAGAGCTTATAAAAAGAGAAAATAAGTCCAGTAGTTGTAGTTTAAGATATTTCTAATGTGAAGGCTTGCTTTTTGTTGTTGTTTAGTCACAAAGTTGTGTACGGCTCTCTGCGACCCCACAGACCGTAGCCCACCAGCCTGCTGTCCATGGGATTTCCCCAGCAAGAATACTGGGCTGAGTTGCCATTTCCTCCTCCAAGGGATCTTCCTGACCGAGGAATTGAACCGACATCTCCTGCATTGGCAGGTGAACTGTCTACCGTTAAACATTCTGTATAGTATGACTGCATCTCAAATGTAGGTACATTCAATAAAGAAACTTAAGTTCATAGGTCTCAGAAGGACCAGAGGAGATTTTAAAAACCACTCCCTTACTTTACAAGAAACAGAGCAGGCCCAAACAAGGAAAGTGAGGTTCCCAAGGTCATACACTGGAATTAGAAAGCGGATTCAAAGCCCTCTCTCCTGCTCCCGTCACCCTTCAGCCTGCCCTCAATATAACCCCACATGACGACATTTAAGCACAGAAATAACTATGCCTTCTGAACCCAGGTGATGATCTGGCAAGGTTCAAAAGTATTTGCAAAAAAAAAAAAGCATTTGCCAAATTCCTCTTGACATAATTGTAGCTAACTTTGGATAAACAGTAACATGAACGTGAAGACTTTATTACAGAAATCTCAAGTCATTCAGCTAACATTTCATACTGATATAGGTGGAGCATTGAAGTAGAAAAAGATTCAAGGAATGGAGAAGGAACTATATTACAATAGTCAGGTTGTTCAAAAGTCTGCAAGTCCTTCCTTCCTTCTGAAGCTGTGGCTAGATGGAGGCAGAAGATAAAATGATTCGTTTTTCGTTTTTCCAGACTGGCTTTTCCCCCAGAGTTTAGTCCATAAAAAATATCATATCACAATGTTCACAGCAGCATTATTCACAATAGTAAAAAGGTGGAAACAAGCTAAATGTCCATTAACAGATGGATAATAAACAAAACATGATATATACATACAATGGAATATTATTCAGCCATAAAAAGGAATGAAATTCTGATACATACTGCCTCATGAATAAACCATGAAAATATGATGCTAAGTGAAAGAAGATGGACACAAAGGGTCATATATTGGAAATATTTAGTATCTAGAATAGACAACTTCATAAAGACAGAAAATAGAATACAGGTTTCCAGGGCTCAGCCCCAGGGGAGGGGAAATAGAAAATTATTACATTAATATAATGGAGACAGGGTTTCTGGCTGAGATGATGAAAAAGCTCAGGAAATGAATAGTGTTGAGAGTTGTACAACACTGTGACTATACTTAGTATCACTGAATTGTGAGACTTTAAAATGGTTAAAATGATTTTATATTTATTTTATAATAAAAAAATTCACATCAAAATCTAAATCATATACCTTCATTTCTTAATTGGAATTCCTAAATTCACCTATTAATTGCTATTAAAGCACAGTCTCAAGACCTGCTTACTATTGATGATATCCTGGTCCATCTATGTATGCTCACCACATGGAGAAACACAGTCACACCCAGGCCATGTTGTGTCCTGCAAAGATCCATCCACAATCAGGTACCTGGAGCTTCCCACACAATGACTCCAGCAAGAAGGCCAATGGCAAGACAAAAGTAACCAGTGTTTCTGGGGATTTTGGCAACCAAATACCCTGATGCCAAGTCTCAGCTAAATCGTTAAACTCATCACCACGGGAAGCAGAGATACAGTTCACACACACAATCTATCCATGAAAAAAACTGTGTGCACATCCCAGGAGAACTCCAGGAACTGCTAACCCAGGCCTGCTCCACCAGGCCCACAAACAAAGAGATTTCAGCCCATACATGGCTATTTGGTAAACTGAGCAATCACACAGTTACACTGAAAAGTGGGGCTCCGTCATACAAATGCACATAGTTAGGAGCTAAATCTTTGTATCTTTACAGGTGAAAGAATAAAAGCAAGATGTACCACTTGTGGCTTCTAAGGAAAGGAGAGCTTTACATTTTTTTTTTCCTTAAAAGAACCTATTTCTCATGAGGTAAAAAGAATCTGAAAATAAGGGTTTTCTGAAATAGAAGCCTGGGGGAGGGGGCAGGCTCCCTGTGTGTTATAGTCATAATCTATCAGCCAGGCCTAAGAGGCGCCAACTCTGGGCTATACCATGACCGTTATTCAACTTTAAGGGTTTTCACAAGCTCATCTCTTCTGGAAACCTCTTCATTGCCACTGGTCTGGTAACTGAGTCCCATAAGCTTTTAAAGGTGTCAAGAGTTTGTCTGTGAAGAAAAACAATTACCAGTGATACTTTCCAATGCCAACACACATGGACACTGAGCACAAATAAGCTGCCACTTGTAAGAAGGCCACTTGACATCATTCCCTTGTGCATCCTAAAGACACATGTCAAGATCACACTAAGATATTTAGAGGCAAACATCTTTAGAATACGGTTTCGTTTCCAATCAAAGTGCTTAATTAGCAGAAACATTATGCTAGAGAGCTGTCCTTGAATATGCATGCATTTTAACCTCCATGTCATTTTTTTTCTGAAGCACAAATTCTCCTCTCACTGGATGGTCAGGAAACAATTAGGCACAGAAAACCAACTATCTGAGGTGTGATCCACAAAACAAGTTCCATATTTCCAAGCAGGTTTCGGCTGCCTACCAGGGTGACAACGCGTTTTATGAGGGAAACCATCCTTTGGCATCTAATGGCCTTTTTCTCCATTCATTTTGGATGAGCCAGGCTCCTATGGCCTAGTTATGGCTGAACGCTTTCAACACTTCCGGCCAACCTCTTCTGCACCCCTGCACCTCCTCCCACCTCCAATTTCAGTCAACCACATTTACAAGACACCAGTTAGTAAATCACAATTCAATTGAACCCATCCATTCGTTCAACAGAAAGTGGTCTCTGGAGTTGCTCCGTGTGAAGCCCATAGGCCACAGTTACACATGGCAGGCTTGCAAACGTGCATGGGCCATGATTTATTCATGATGACCATGTGTGTTAGATGCCCAGTTCCAGCAGGCTGTGGCTTCACTCACCTGCCTCTGTCTGGGATGACCTAGCTACTCACTGTGTTCCATTTTAGGTACTGTATTTCCACGCTGGGGAAACAGAGATGGGTGACCGGCTGGAGGCTATATACACAGATGCCCCTAACCCTGCTCATCACATTACAATCTGTGACCAAACGCAAAGTGGGCCAAACATAACTTGCTGCAAAGGTTTGCCATGTACCATGGCTTTCAGTGGAGAAGTAGCTGTTGGGATGACTGACCACGTGGGGTTCATTAAACTGTTGTGTATTTACCCACAAGGAAGGCTGGGATGCTTGTGAGTGGAGCCCTGCTCTTCATTTCAACGATTTCCACCCCCCACCATTTGGCAATAATGCTCCAAAGGTGAATAGCAGATATGTATCAGAAGGTCTAAATGTGGACTCCAGCTGAAGTGCAGGAAACTTCTGCCTTCAATAGTCTCGACCCCTCTACCCACCCAGTTGCATTTGTACTTTGAAAGAAGTTAACATGAAGCAGTAGTCACCTGGGCGTGCTCAATTTTTGACAAGCCTTAGTCACTCTGTACCCAGCAGAACAATTCACATTATAGTCGAAATCCTGTGAAGATTCTGCCACACATGCTAACACTAAAATGCCAGTAGCTCCACTTACCTTCTTTATTAAGCCTCATAACCTCCCTGCTTTTTCCACCCTCTTTTCCAGCCTCTTCTAAATCTACATCTGCAGATGAAAAAGAAAAGGAAAAAAGAAAATAAGGAAAAAAAGAGAGGAAAAAAAAGGGGGGGAGGCAAAGTCAAGGGGGGAAGGGAGAGTGTTTATTTGCAAACAGATCGATATAAATACTGGATATGAAAATCTTTCAAAAATTGACAAAGCAATATTTTCTCCCAAGTCCGGATTTCCATCTACCTGGCCCACATAGGTACCAAAAAAAAAAAAACTATGCAAGCAGCAACAGAGTAGCCTTTTAAACGGATACACCGTGGGGCTGTGAAAGCCCACCCCGCGGGCTGCCACGGGGAGAGGGCACAGACAGACAGACAGACAGCCCTGGCAGCAGGGCCTCTCTGTGTGCACTGATGATCTGTCTCTGTGTGTATTTATTTGGAGAGAGGGAGAAGCATGGAGGACACCGGGGGCCACTCTCTCTCCACACACACACTTTTTCCCAGTGGCTCTAGGTGAATGGAAAGGTTACAGGGTAATAAAAGGAGGAGGAGGCGGTGGGGTTCTTACTGTCGGAGCAGTGTAATTTGGCGGCGTCGATCCAGGAGGACCAGGGTTTGCCCAGAAACGCCTCCGGACTGGGCACTTTGCGATCCAGTGTCGCCATTGCTCTTCCTTCTTGTTGCTTTTTCCCTGTTCCTTCGGCAGCAGCAGCCGAGAGACACGGGATTCGAGAACGCTCCGACGTCATCTTCGGAACGTTCCGACATTGAGTGTTCTGAAAGGGGGAGGGAGGGAGGGAGGGATGGGAGGAGGGAGGAGGAGGAGGAGGAGAGAGCAAGGAGGAGGAGCCGGCGTTCAGCGCCCGGCCGGGCTCGACTCGGCTCTCGGCATCCGCGGCCGCCAGGGGCAGCAGAGAGGCGCCCGGAGGCCCGGCGCCTGCACGCCTGCCGCCAGCACGCCCGCCGCCGGGGGCGGGGCTGAGCGCTGGAACCAGAGGATGCAGCGTGGGGCGTGAGGATGCTGCGGCGCCGCCGGCACCCGGCGCCCGCTAGCCGGGGTCCTAGGGGCCAGACGTGTGAGAGGGGGTTGAGGTCGACCTGGGAGAGGCGCGACCTGGGGCCGTGGGAGGGGTGGTCTTCCCCGCAGAGTTGCGCTCCAGGACAAAGTTTTTGCGTGCAGCCCTTCCAGCGCGTCCTGCCCTCGCCGGTTCCTGTCGCCCACGGTGAGGCGCCCCAGAGAGGATCCCTGCCGCTTTGTGGAGAGGGGCCAGCAACCCCCCTCCCCCGACGACCACCTCAAGGGAGGAGACCCCGGTGACCTCTCCTCCCAGACACCACTCCCTCCACCTTTTCTTCTCTTTCTCGGTGGACCTTGGGTGGTGGAGGATTCTGCGGATGCCTTTGGGAGCTGAGAGCAATGGGTAGATGGAAGTGGTTCTAAAAGCAGGTGAGTTTGGAGCTAGAGGAGCTGCCTTCCCATCTCAGGCTGCGGGGCGTTGCAAAGCTCAAAACTCGGGGCCCCGCAATGCGAGCCTCCGGCTCTCAGAGAACCACTGCGCACACTTTGCTCCACATCCACGGTAGTGGGAGTGAGGACTCACCCACTCTCCGAAGATGCTGCTTAGCGGACCAAGCCCCTGGAGCCGTTTCCAGCACTTCCTCTTTTGAGATGAGGGTCTCCCGGATTAGCGCAGGCAATGAGGGATTCAATTCTTGGGAGAATTCACTTCAGGCTTAACTGCTCTGATTAGCTGTTAATAGAGAGGAAGCGTTAGATTTCCTCTGGATTTTTTACATTTAATGCTTTCATTGAGATTCCCACCACTTCCTCCCTCCTCCCCCAGGGGTTGGCAGCAAAGGTGTTAAAAGGTCTTCTGGTATCTCTCATTTAAAAAAAAATTTTGTTTTTCATTTTCTAGGAATTACCTAAAATATATGGACTCTACCGCACAATCGACATATTTCCCTCTTTTCCCCCAGCACCCTTTTAGTTCTCACAGCCTATTTCTGCCCCGTGACTGAAGCTCATGGATTTGAAGTTTCTCTGTCCTGAAGTCTGCTCTGGCTCTGTCATATAATGTCCCTGCACTTGGCATCCTGTATCTCAAAGCCAGGATCAGGATGGGCGATGAAGGAGGAGCTTCCAGTTGATCTTCAGTTGTGATGTTTGTGTGAATGGGCTTGTTTTTGGTCAGACCCAAATAAATTTCATTTGCCTTTGCTCTCTTTGGTAGGGTTCCTACATAGGAACCACTAAATGGCTAAGGTGTCACTGAGTGGAGATTCTCATTTGAAGGACTGAGAGTGTTAGCAGATTTTTTTTTTTACTTACTGATCTCATATGTCAGACACCATGCTTGACATTTCCATCCATCTATCCATCTTTTCAACAATTATTGCTTGTCATGGACTACCATCCCCAGCAGAGAAAGAGAAGTGAGACCCAGGCTAGTTCTGGTGATGATACAATCTGATGGTCTCTGTGGAAGGAGGAAGGTGTGAAACTTACCAGCTTCTTGGAAAAACAAGCCATGTACCCAGTGACTGGCCAGGTCAGTGAGTGGTATGGCCTCTCAGAGCTGTGCCTATCTGTGGGAGGAACTGAAATCTAGTTTGAAGTGATCAGAAAATGTGTCACAGAGAAGATTAGGCACAGAGGAAACTACTCTGCTCTGCACTTTGGAAATGGGAGAGAATTTATAATGGTAAGGTGAAGATTGGTCTTGCCAAGGGAAGGGGGAGTAATGGTGTCAGCAGAGGCTTCAAGCTGAGCAAGTGTGGTGTGTTTGCATGTTGAGTGTGGTTTACCTGAGATGATGGGTTATTATTTGGGATTTGGGAGTGATGAGTTTGTATTCAGGCTTGGGTCAAATTATGAAAGGCATCTTATGGCAGCCTAAAGAATTTGGGTTTTGTTGACAATGGGGAGTCACTAAAGGGCTTTCTGTAGTAAAAGGATAAATGGAAAGTATGACATAGAAAGATTACTTTCTGGCCTTGGTGTCCAGGATGTATTGGACTAGAGAAGTTGGTGAGGAAAGTAGTGCTGCACTATCCATGGTGGAAGAAACGAAAGCCTGAACTTTGGTGGTCCCTTGCATATGGAGAAGAGAGAGCAGGAATGAGAGACACTGTGAAGTAAGGTGCCTCATCTGAGGGTGTGTTGCATGACTGGATTTGGGGAAAGGGAGAAAGAGAGAGAGAACGAGAGCGCTCAGAGGTAGAAGTAATGAGATCTCGGAACATTTTCCTCTTCCCCTGTAGCTTTCCAATATTCTTCCCATTTTGGTGTTTATTCCTCATTGTATATGCAAAGGTGGTAGGCAGCTTCTCGGATGACCCCAATGATCTCCACATCTTAGTGTGCATGTCCTACTGTGTAGGCTGGACCTAGTGACTTGTTTTTAACTAACAGAATTTGGTAGAGTGATGTCCCTTCAGAGGTTAAGTTACAAAAAGACTGTGGCTTCAGTCTCGCTCACTCTTATTCTCATTGACTTGCTCTTAGGGAAGGCCATAGCTGTGTTGTGAGGTACTCTTTGGAGAGGTGTGTGTGGCAGGGAACAGAGGAGGCTTCTGGCCAACAGTCCGTGAGGAACTGAGGCTCTTTGTTCAGTAGGCGGTGAGGTGCTGAATCCTGTCAACAGCCACGTGAGTCTGGTAGTTCATCCTTTTCCAGTCAAGCCTTGAGATCACAGCCCTGGGCCTCAACTGTGAAAGACCTCGAGGCAGAGGCTCCCAGCTAAGTCAAGCCTGTATTCCCAATCCACATAAACTGTGAGATCATTAATGCTTGTCATTTTCAATTATTAAGTTTTGGGGTAACTTGTTACATAGCAATATATAACTAATACAGAATGGTTTGGGTGTAAAGTGATAGAATAACAAAAAACTTACTAGAAAAATACATTTAACAAAGGAAGAAGTCTGAGCAGTGTTCCCTGTTCCTCTTTTGAGCCTGCTGTGAGTTGTATACCATTTGTTTTTCTAAATTTTTTGCCAGCTTTGTGCAACTGGTTTACACTGGTATCTCCTGCATGCTGAGTTTGGTATTTTATCTTTATCCTTTGGGTACTCGAGTTTTTGCTATTTAAACTTAATCATCACTTCATAGAGAGATCTCTAACCCTAAGGTCATTGTGTAAGTATTGGGAAAATTCTTTACTGATAGTGATGCCACCACAGTGGTGGCTGTTACAACCCTACTCTCCTTGAGGTATGTGGAAGGTACAGTGATTAAGGGACTCAAGCCCAGGGGCTGAGAGTCAGTGACTTAAGCTTCCAGAAAATTGTCTCTTCTGGGAGTGACTTTAAGTCACTCAAAAAAGAAAAAAAATGAAAGCTTGTATGTCATCAGGAAGTGTCAGGGCATCTAAGGTGCAGGAGAAACAAAGCCATATTCACTACTTTAACATTACTTTACTACTCTAGCTGAGCTTCTCAAGTTATTTCTGCCCAGCTCTCTGAAGATGGTATGACAGCCCAAATATTATTCCCTTCTAGCTGGGAGGATTTTAGTTTGCAGTATAGTAAAGTATGGGCTGGAATCTCAAATTGATTTGGCATCTCTCCAAAACAAGACTTTGGCTACCATTGCCATGTTTCACTGAGAGAACATGTATACATGATTGCAGTTAGAATTACCAGGTGTAATTGTAGTTTCCACTCTAAGCCTTCCATAGTTTCTCTGACTATAGAGATAACAATAACCATAACCCATCTATGACTTTGTAACTGTGGATAACATGGCCGTCAATTAAATTACACTGCTGGGAGCCAGAGAATGAAGAAAGCCTTGCTCATCCAACTACTAGACTTTTACACTTGACTTCAGATGAAAATTGAGGTCAGTTGGGAGTAGTATTAGGGTCAGTATGGTGCATATATATATATATATATATATATATATATATATATATATATACATGTCTATACTTACATACCAACTGTGTATATAGCAAATTTATTGCAGACTTGAATTTCTTTTGGTAGTAAATAGTCACAAATTTTCTTTAGTGACAACAAGAACCTTACACATCCTTAATAGGAATAAATTGACCTGCAAAACAGTAATTTAAAGCATGTTAGTATAATGTCTGTGTGATAAAACTGTCTAGCAAAGGTGTAACACCTTCTTCCTGCATGATTAATGTTTAAGGAAGATAAAAGGGGTGTAAATATTTTTATTGTTTTATTATCTTTCTCAGAAAAATGACAGTGGTTGGTTTAATTAAAAAGGAGACTCTCCCACAGACCAAATAAAGAAATCAATTCAATGGAGATGACAATGGAAAATACCTATTTAATTTGAATAACACCTGGTTCTGGGGAAATGTGCAACAAATACAGAGCCTGCATTCACTTAGTCTGATTCATGTGCTGTTTCAGCACATTATTGAAAAGAAGAGGGAATATTAGCGCTCTCATTTGAGGATATTAAACTCCTGCTGGGGTCGAGGTGCTGTGTGCACACCCTACTTTCTACCTAGACCGTTGTTGGGAGTTACCTGGAGGCGACAAAGAGAAAATGACATGTTCCATTAAAACGAGGCATCCCTGGAATTGTTTGATGTTCTTTGCCTTAATTGAATCCATCTATCCCATCTGCCACTCTGCTATTTTCCTAACCCTCTCTCTCTGAGAATTATAATTTGGGGGGAAGTTTGTTACATACATTGTTACCTTTTATAAAAGCTCCCTGCATCTGGAGGGCAGGTGTGCCATCTTACTTGCCTTGTTAGATTAGATT